TATGGTAAAGGCCTCTGCTTTAATCTACTACATGAGAGGTCATTGTTACTCATTTCCAAAGCTATTATTGACTTGGAATGTGGAATTGGAGAGGCTTTTCAAATGTAGTTAGTGGTGTTCACAAAAGAACCATTGCCTTCAAAAGAGAGAAACTTGGACACTGAGAATGAACTTATCACTTCCATTTATAACTTATATAAGCAAAAATATCTGAAGGCAAATATCAAGCCATGGTTCCACACTCCCAAAGTATCTCATTTGTCATGAGCCATGAGTGTCACTTTTTAAACTCCTTCCCTGAATGCCCAATCAACAGGAAAGAAGCTGCAGAGCAAGGGCAGAAGAATCTAGACCAGGTGTTGGCAAACTATAGCTCATAGACTGACCACTTGTTTTGTTTGTTTGTTGTTGTTTTTTTGAGACAGTCTTACTCGGTCACCCAGGCTGGAGTGCAATGGCATGATCTTGGCTCACTGCAACCTCCACCTCTCGGGTTCAAGCAATTCTCCTGCCTCAGCCTCCCGAGTAGCTGGGAGTCCAGGCACTCACCACCACGCCCGGCTAACTTTTGTACTTTTAGTAGAGATGGGGTTTCACTATGTTGACCAGGCTGGTCCCGAACTCCTAACCTTAGATGATCTGCTGGCCTCAGCCTCCCAGAGTGCTGGGATTATAGGCATGAGCCACCGTGCCTGGTCTGTAAATAAAGTTTTATTGGAACACAGCCATGCTCTTCTGTTTAATCTTGTCTATGGCTGCTTTAGTGCTACAATGGCAGAGTTGGGTAGTTGGGACAGGCACAATGTCTGTCTGTTGGGACAGACAACACAAACTCCAAAATATCTACTCTGTGGGTCTTTACTGAAAACTTTGCTGACCCTTGGTCTAGACAAACAGTCAGATGAGCTAACTGTTGGCTAAAGGTCCTCAACTCACAATGCCAAGAGAAAGACTGAGTTGGCTTTAGTTGTTGTCATGCACTGCGTAATTTAAAAAATCTTACAAGCCAGTACAACTAAAACTCCTATTTACCTTACTTTGGAGCAATAATATGGAAAGTAAAACTAGGTCTGAATATATTTAATATATTACCTGGACTTCTAAAACATTGTTGATTGCTTAAATGTGCATAAGTCAATGTCATTTCTCAAAACGTTTAATAGATGCAACTGTTGGCGGCTGCTAAAGTACTGGTGTTATGCTTGTGCCTGTGTGAAATTCTGCAATGCTGAAAACCTCATGCACTCGAGCTACGAATGTAGGTCTACTTGAAGCAAAACTCTTCAATCTAATTGTTTTCCCAATCTTGGAAACCAATTTTAAGAGTCACCAGAAAACTGTAGTTTAAGGCACTAGATACATTTCTCCGCTGAGCTTTGTAGTACGAATATGCTGGACAAATTCAGTAAAATATGCCATAAATTATGACTGCTTTATCTGAATGCATGGGACACTTTCTACAATGGTGGGAATTATTACCAGGAGTTTAGGAGCCAGACATGGGTTCTGTATTTTTCATACATTGGTGATCAATTCAAATCGCTTTCCTTTGCAGCCAGGTTTGGTCAGTATGGCCAGGAGTACAGATTATGACAAAGAACAAAGCTGAAAGACCTGAATCATTAAGGTTACAGTCTCAATGCCACCAAGTTAAACAACCTATTTACATGCAAGACCATTGGCTGGAATGATACTGGATAGACATGTCAAACGTGATCTGAAGGCTTTTATTTTATTTTATTTTATTTATTATACTTTAAGTTCTAGGGTACATGTACACAACATGCAGGTTTGTTACATATGTATACATGTGCCATGTTGGTGTGCTGCACCCATTAACTCATCATTTACATTAGGTATATCTCATAATGCTATCCCTCCCCCCTCCTCCCACCCCACAACAGGCCCTGGTGTGTGATGTTCCCCTTCCTGTGTCCAAGTGTTCTCATTGTTCAATTCCCACCTATGAGTGGGAACATGCAGTGTTCGGTTTTTTGTTCTTGTGATAGTTTGCTGAGAATGATGGTTTCTAGCTTCATCCATGTCCCTACAAAGGACATGAACTCATCCTTTTTTATGGCTGCATAGTAGTCCATGGTGTATATGTACCACATTTTCTTAATCCAGTCTATCATTGATGGACATTTGGGTTGGTTCCAAGTCTTTGCTATTGTGAATAGTGCCACAATAAACATATGTGTGCATGTGTCTTTATAGCAGCATGATTTATAATCTTTTGGGTATATACCCAGTAATGGGATGGCTGGGTCAAATGATATTTCTACTTCTAGATCCTTGAGGAATTGCCACACTGTCTTCACAATGGTTCAACTAGTTTACAGTCCCAACAACGGTGTAAAACTGTTCCTATTTCTCCACATCCTCTTCAGCACCTGTTGTTTCCTGACTTTTTAATGATCGCCATTCTAACTGGTGTGAGATAGTATCTCATTGTGGTTTTGATTTGCATTTCTCTGATGGCCAGTGATGATGAGCATTTTTTCATGTGTCTGTTGGCTGCATAAATGTCTTCTTTTGAGAAGTGTCTGTTCATCTCCTTTGCCCACTTTTTGATGGGGTTGTTTTTTTCTTGTAAATTTGTTTGAGCTCTTTGTAGATTCTGGATATTAGCCCTTCATCAGATGAGTAGACTGCAAAATTTTTCCCATTCTGTAGGTTGCCTGTTCACTCTGATGGTAGTGTCTTTTGCTGTGCAGAAGCTCTTAAGTTTAATTAGATCCCATCTATCAATTTTGGCTTTTGTTGCCATTGCTTTTGGTGTTTTAGACATGAAGTCCTTGCCCATGCCTATGTCCTGAATGGTATTGCCTGAGTTTACTTCTAGGGTTTTTATGGTTTTAGGTCTAACATTTAAGTCTTTAATCCGTCTTGAATTAATTTTTGTATAAGGTGTAAAGAAGGGATCAAGTTTCAGCTTTCTACATATGGCTAGCCAGTTTTCCCAGCACCATTTATTAAATAGGGAATCCTTTCCCCCTTTCTTGTTTTTGTCAGGTTTGTCAAAGATCAGATGGTTGTAGATGTGTGGTATTATTTCTGAGGGCTCTGTTCTGTTCCATTGGTCTATATCTCTGTTTTGGTACCAGTACCATGCTGTTTTGGTTACTGTAGCCTTGTTGTATAGTTTGAAGTCAGGTAGCATGATGCCTCCAGCTTTGTTCTTTTGGCTTAGGATTAGACATCTTGGCAATGCAGGCTCTTTTTTGGTTCCCTATGAATTTTAAAGTCATTTTTTCCAATCCTGTGAAGAAAGTCAATGGTAGCTTGATGGTGATGGCATTGAATCTATAAATTACCTTGGGCAGTATGGCCATTTTCACGATACTGATTTTTCCTATCCATGAGCATGGAATGCTCTTCCATTTGTTTGAGTCCTCTTTTATTTCGTTGAGCAGTGGTTGTAGTTCTTCTTGAAGAGGCCCTTGTAAGTTGGATTCCTAGGTATTTTATTCTCTTTGAAGCAATTGTGAATGGGAGTTCACTCATGATTTGACTCTCTGTTTGTCTGTTATTGGTGTATAAGAATGCTTGTGATTTTTGCACATTGATTTTGTATCCTGAGACTTTGCTGAAGTTGCTTATCAGATTAAGGAGATTTTGGGCTGAGACGATGGGGTTTTCTAGATATACAATCACGTCTTCTGCAAACAGGGACAATTTGACTTCATCTTTTCCTAATTGAATACCCTTTATTTCTTTCTCCTGCCTGATTGCCCTGGCCAGAACTTCCAACACTATGTTGAATAGGAGTGGTGAGAGGGCATCACTGTCTTGTGCCAGTTTTCAAAGGGAATGCTTCCAGTTTTTGCCCATTCAGTATGATATTGGCTGTGGGTCTGTCATAAATAGCTCTTATTATTTTGAGATATGTCCCATCAATATCAAATTTATTGAGAGTTTTTAGCATGAAGGGCTGTTGAATTTTGTCAAAGGCATTTTCTGCATCTATTGAGATAATTATGTGGTTTTTGTCTTTGGTTCTGTTTATATGGTGGATTACATTTATTGATTTGCATATGTTGAACCAACCTTGCATCCCAGGGATGAAGCCCACTTGATCATGGTGGATAAGCTTTTTGATGTGCTGCTGGATTCGGTTTGCCAGTATTTTATTGAGGATTTTTGCATAGATGTTCATCAGGGATATTGGTCTCAAATTCTCTTTTTTTGTTGTATCTCTGCCAGGCTTTGGTATAAGGATGATGCTGGCCTCATAAAATGAGTTAGGGAGGATTCCCTCTTTTTCTATTGATTGGAATAGTTTCAGAAGAAATGGTACCAGCTCCTCCTTGTACCTCTGTAGAATTCGGCTGTGAATCCATCTGGTCCTGGACTTTTTTTGGTTGGTAGGCTATTAATTATTGCCTCAATTTCAGAGCCTGTTCTTGGTGTATTCAGAGATTCAACTTCTTCCTGGTTTAGTCTTGGGAGGGTGTATGTGTCCAGGAATTTATCCATTTTTTCTAGATTTTCTAGTTTATTTGCATAGAGGGGTTTATAGTACTCTCTGATGGTAGTTTGTATTTCTGTGGGGTCGGTGGTGATATCACCCTTATCATTTTTTATTACATCTATTTGATTCTTCTCTCTTTTCTTCATTATTAGTCTTGCTAGTGGTCTATCAATTTTGTTGATCTTTTCAAAAAACCAGCTGCTGGATTCATTGATTTTTTGAAGGGTTTTTTGTGTCTCTATCTCCTGATCTGAAGGCTTTGAAATGTCATGAAGGGTGGGACTTATTGTTTGATGTTGGCTACAATGAAGGCTACCTCTTTCCTTCTCCTTTAAATATTAGGTAGATCATAAATAACAGATATTATTATGGATTCTACATGCAAATGTGTCTTAGTAGATATGTGATCAATTGAGGTGGAAAAGCCTTTTAGGGCACAGGAGGAGTTGGGCTTCCTCTTGAAGCTCAGGTTTGACCACTGGGTTGTCTTCTATGTCTAGAGAATTAAATGGCTGAAATACAGTTCTCTAATCACAACTCTCCTTTTATCTCGAAGAATGTACAAAGCTTGAGATAATGACTTTGGGAAGAAATGATGTGTACTGAAAATATCACTAAGAATTTAAATGTGATTTTTTAGACTTATATGGAGAATAAGACATATAAGCCCACTGGATAAATTATAAGATCTATAAAAACAAAGGCATAGGATATTAAATTTTTCTTCAGTTTCAAGTATAATAGAATCATACAGCTGAAGAAAACATCACCATTCTATATTTTTATTACAAAATAAAGAAACATCGGTCCTACTTTTTGTCTCTAATGCTTCATGAATTTATGTGTCAGCCTTGCGTGGGGGCTGTGCTAATCTTCTCTGCATTGTTCCTATTTTAGTACATGGGCTACTGAAACAAGCAGAGTCCTACTTCTTAAACTTCCTCTTTCTTACATTTAAAAAGCCCACCAGTCAAGGTCTTTTAATTTTGGTATACACCGTCACTGAATGCCATTTATAAATTCTAATTTTAAAGAGACCCTTAATTTTCCAAGGAGGACTTTGATAGCATTAGTTTTCAGAAAAGATGACTTGCAATTCTAATTTAGGACTTGAAAGGTAAGATTTTTATAGGGAGGCTTATAAAAGGTGGCTTAGAAAAAAAATGAGCACTCTCAAACCTTTCTTTTGGGAGTCAGGCTACGGGGCTGAAGTGTCTTTTTCAAGTGAAGCAATTGACACTACCCGTGGGAGAAGCCACCTCTGCGACCTATGGCCAAACCACAAATGTACATTTCTGTGCAACATTCCTGCTAGAGCAGCTGGGCTCTGATTAAGGTATAGCTGGCTAGATAATCACTAGGGAGAGGTCCAGGGTGTGGGGAACACTTCAAATCACATTCCATGGAAATATTAGACTGTCAGAGCTTAGGAAGCCCCCGATTGTCCATAGGCGCTGAGGTGGGGGAAAGGACTGAAATGAACGCTAGCACATGTCAGCTTATAAAAGAGCTGCTGACACAAATTGAACATGTGCAATTTTTTAAAAAGGTGGTATCGAATAACAGGCCAACAGTCATCCCTCTCAGCATTTTAGACCTCTTTCTTCTCTCCACTTTGGCTGTTTGTTGAGTCACTTCCATCAGGCAAAGTTCCATAGGATAAGCTATTTGAATCTGGTTGTATTTTGTCCAACATTTGTTTCCCTGTGGAGATAATAATCATAGAGAATCTTTTGTGGTCTTACAGAAAAATGAGTCTTAATAATTTCTCCTCAATCTAGGCCACATTTTATCACCTCTCTTTTATACTATGTGGGCACTGTCTAAACAGAAGAGATGAATGTCAAGGAAGGAAAGGCCCTTGGAATGCCATGTCTCTAGCTGTGTGATAGCATGCTGTCTGTGTCAGAGCCACTGTCCCCACCCCACAGGATCGACAGGCTGTGCATGGAAATCAGGTGGGTTTAGTCTGGAGATTCACATGAAGCATTCACTCATCTCCAAGCCTTTCTCCCCAGGGTTGTGTCTTCTTTTCCATGTCGAATACATATAACAACATAGAAAAATAGCCTTTGATAGTGGCTTCTAAAGCTGCTATGGAGTCTATGCACTGGGCTTTGTGAAATAAAAAATAGAGTTAAAAATAATCAGGCTGGGCGCAGTGGCTCACACCTATAATCCCAGCACATTGGGAGGCTGAGGCAGGTGAATCACTTGAGGTCAGGAGTTTGAGACCAGCCTGGCCAACATGGTGAAATAGAAAAATTAGCCAGGCATGGTCGTGCATACCTGTAATCCCAGCTACTTGGGAGGCTGAGACACAAGAATCACACGAACCCTGCGAGGGGAGGTTGCAGTAAGCTGAGATTGTGCCACTGCACTCCAGAACTGGGTGACAGAGCAAGACTCCGTCTCAAAAAAAAAAAAAAAATAAATAAAAAATAAATAAAATAAAATCAAACTTTATTTCCCACCAAAGGACCTCTAACCATATAAGGCTTCTCTCACATGCACCGTTGCCACTGATGCCAATTCTTTCATTGACTGCTCCCAGCAGATAAGATGGCTCGAATGGCACAGAGAACACAGAATTCATTGCATGGGGCCATATTTCTCAGTCTTAGGGATGAGGCTTCCCTAGTTTTTGCTTCACAGGCATGATGCTAACAGAATGGCGGAGAAAGCTGTGAGAATATCTCCACTCCTGCCTGGAAACCTATAGGTCCCCCCAAACCCCTAATAAGGCTGGAGAGTGCTGAGGGCGGGTGGACGGGGGAAGAAGTTACACAGCAGACTGTTTCCTCTGTCCTGGACTTGGCTTTTGTTGTCTACATGACTAGGTGAGTTATTTCTCAGTGAGAGTGAGAACGGGAAAGAGTGTTTGCTCTCTGGGTAGGTGGGGTGAGGAAGGGGGAAGAAGCTACTTGTGTTTTGGTGACTGTCCTGAGCCACAGTGCACAAGCCACCCCAGGCTTTCCCCAAGACATGTTCCTTAGCTGCCTACCCTTTGTCCTTGGATGTTCCTTCAAGGCTCTCAAAGTGGCAGGGGTCTGTTGCTGGTAGTCATTGCTACTCTTTTCTCTACCCTTTTCCAATTTAAGGAAACCCAAAAAGGAAATCCTCCAAATTACCCAAATCAAGGAAACGTGGTCAGTTCTTTTATATCCCCAGTTCTGTGCAAAACTAACATTCAATAAATTATTAGTAACATTTACACTGAAAATATCACCTTTGGTTTCATTATTAAATCCACATTTTTTAAGGGTAAGAATTATGTTTTATATTAACTTACCACCCAAAATAATACCAATAATTATTCATTTATAAGGATCAAATTTTCCACTATAAAGAATATATGATTTTACCAGGAATATTTCCAAAATCAATATAAGACTGTTGCAGATGTTCCTTTTCTCGATTTCTTGTGACCAAAAATACACCAAGGAATGACAGAAAACACCTGTAAGAATAATATTAATAAAGAATACAAGAACACTGAAACAGACTCATGATATTAAATAACTGAGCTCCATATTCTACATGATGACATAAATCCCATTGGTTTTGTTCATCCAGTTTCTGGTAAGTTTCCTAGTACTTGTCTTAATTAGCACAGCCAATAGTTCTACCCAGAACCAAGACTTGGGCAGATTCCAGTAGATCTCTGCCCCGGGTTTTTACCATCTGGGGGCTAATTCAGGCTCAAAACCCTTTGGGTAGACACCCTGTCTCATTTTCTACCCATGCACGCCCAGATCCATTTGTGGCATGTGACACAAGAGAAAAAATAATTTATTCTTTAATTTTCTAAGAAATCTAGTTGTCCTTGGCCATAAGAGTAGTCATAATTTCCAGACCTCAGAAGTTTGGCCTTGCCCAAATATCTTATGAAATTGAATTTTCAAGATAGATGGCTTCCTACACGGAAAATAGCCTAGGCTTAAGTTTGCATAACAATGGTCATGCTGACTATCAGATCAGAAGCAGCTAAACATTTAATGAAGTGCCTCATGGACTCATGGAAGCTCCTATACACTGGTGATATATTGTAAAAGTTCTGCTTTCTGTTTGCAAGCAATGCTAGCAATGATGCCCACCAAATCTCTAGGGACAGTTCAAGCTGCACACTCTGACACAAGGAAGGGACACTACCAACATGATGTTATCATGACTAAAGCAAGGGATCTGTCCATCTTGGTCTTTTGTTTTGGGCGACCCTAGAGGATCACGATTCTCTAATTTAGATCTAATCTAGGGGTTCCCAAGAGTGAAGTAGGTCTGATACAGTAGAGAAAGGTCATGGAGTAACTACAAGGGCCAGTGGATGTATCTTGTCTTTGGCCTGGAATTGAAAATCCCCAATGTTTCAGAGCTTCAGAGGAATACCTAAGTCACAAAGCCAAAGACACTGAGCCCCATGTAGGGCCTTAAGTTAAAAAACATGTTTCTTTTAGGAGCTCAGGAAACTGACGTTTCTTATATTATTTTCCAATTTTCTATACCTCTGGTACAATGCCAAAAATCCTATGTAAAAGTAATAGAATTTCACATACTTTACCTCTGAGGCATTTACTCACCCAAAAAGATATATAAATACAGTGAGAAAAGCAGCACCAAGGAATTCCTGATAAAATATGATACCTGTGACACAGGAAAAGAAGATAAAATTGATTTTGAAGTAAGGTTATTTATAATAGCTAAATATTGTTTGTAAACTTATGTTAATATGTTATTTTTTCAAAGTAAATTTAGTCACCCTTAAAATGCACATTCAGCAGTTTAGTTTAAGAAAATTTGCAGGCCACACATTCTGAATTATTCCAAAAAGAACATAGATTTGTAGACCTGATATAATTATCATTATTATAAAATCAACATAATTGACATATATTTGCAAGCAGAAATTTCTCATCCAGTCCAGGATTGCCCCACTGGAACATACAAGAAAACAACACTCTAGTGACTATTCCCCACCTGCAGTTTTAGGTCAGGAGTCAGCCAGCCTGGCCTGAGAGTCTTGGTGGACTCTGGGGCCTCTGACATGGCAGGTCCACCTCAGGCCAGCTGCTGCCACGCATGCTGTCACTCGTGGCGATGCCAGTGATCTGTTGGTCTGGCCCCACGGCAACTCAAGCACCAAAGCATACTCTAGCAGCTGAAGTGCTACCTTAGCTCCACTTCCCACTGCCAACCCCCGTCTCATCTTCCTCTGGTCTTCCATAGGTAAACAAGGATGCATCATCTACTTTGATGAATGTTGCTTCTATCCCTGTTGGTCTCAATGATTTCTTCTGTAAAGTTCCAAAGCCTTCATAGAGTTTTTGTTAAATAAGATATCTTTAAGTTATATGTCGCCTGGAATTAAATTTTTTTGTGTGTGGTGGTATCCTTGCTAGCCAGCCAGCAAATATTTATCGAACGTCTGCTGTGTGTCAGCCACTGCTCTAGGTCTTGGAGAAACGACAGGACAGAGACCTATCCTCAAGGAGGTTTCTCAATCTTCACCGTATCTTCTTACCTAGGGAATGAACTTCTTACAGGAAGAAGCCATGTCCAGTTCTAATGAATATTTGTTGAATGAATGAAAGTTTCTGAAGCACACTCCAGGTTATTACATACTTCCTTATAATCATTTTAATGTTTTCATGTTATTTTATTTATTTATTTATTTATTTTTGAGACAGAGTCTCGCTCTGTCTCCCAGGCTGGAGTACAGTGGCGTGATCTCGGCTCACTGGAAGCTCCGCCTCCCAGGTTCGTGCCATGCTCCTGCCTCAGCCTCCCGAGTAACTGGGACTACAGGCGCCCGCCACCTCGCCCGGCTAGTTTTTTGTATTTTTTAGTAGAGACGGGGTTTCACAGTGTTAGCCAGGATGGTCTCGATCTCCTGACCTCGTGATCCGCCCGCCTTGGCCTCCCAAAGTGCTGGGATTACAGGCGTGAGCCATTGCGCCCGGCCAGTTTTCATGTTATTTTAAACTGATATACCATAATATTCATTTCTCTAAGGGCATTTCAAGTTGGTTCTACATCTTTTTTCTCTTTTTTTTTTCATTTTTTTTTCTTTAGTAAAGCAGCAATGTACTTCTTTGTACAGGCGTATCTTGGAGATACGTGGTTTTGGTTCCAGACCACATCACAATAAAGCTAATCTCTCAATAAAGCAAGTCACACTAAATTTTTGGTTTCTCAGTGTACATAAAAGTTATGTTTATACTATACTATAGTTTTTCAAATGTGCAATAGCATTATGTCTAAAAAAAAGTACATACCTTAATTAAAATACTTTATTGCTAAAAATGCTAATGATCATCTGAGCCTGCAGTGAGTCCTAATCTTTTTGCTCGTTGGAGGGACTTGCCTCAATGTTGATGGTTGCTGATTGATCGGGGCTGTAGTTGCTGAAGGCTGGGGTGGCTGTGGCAACTTCTTAAGATAAGACAATGATGAAGTTTGCCACATCAATGAACTCTTCTTTGTAGCATGCAATGCTATTTGATCGCATTTGACTTACAGTAGAAATTCTTTCAAAATCTCTACTTAATCTTCTCGAACACAGCTGCTGCTTCATCAACTAGGTTACTGAAATATTCTAAATCTTTTGTTTTCATTTCAACAATGTTCCTAGCATCTTCACCAACAGTAGTTTCCACTTCAAGAAACCACTTTCTTTGCTCTTTTATAAAAAGCAACTCCTCATCCATTAAAGTTTGATCATGAAGTTGTAGCAATCCAGTCACATCTTCAGGCTCCACTTCTATTCTAGTTCTTTTCCTATTTCCATCACATCTGCAGTTACTGCCTTCTCTGAAGTCTTGAATCTTTCAAAACTATCCAGGAGAGTTAGAACAGACTTCTTCCAAACTCCTGTCAACGTGCATATTTTAGCCTCCGCCCATGAATCACAAAGGTTCTTAATGACATCAAGAAAATCAGAAAGTTTTCAATTTACTTTGCTAAGATCCATTGGCAGAATCACTATCTATGACAGCTATAGCTTTACGAAATGTATTTCTTAAATAATAAGACTTGAAAGTCAAAATTACTCATTGATCCATGGGCTGCAGAATGAATGTTGTGTTAGCAGGCATGAAAACAACATTCATCTCCTTGTACATCTCCATAAGAGTTCTTGGGTGATCAGGTTCATTGCCAATAAGCAGTAATATTTCGAAAGGAATCTTTTTCCTGGTCATTAGGTCTCAACAGTGGGTTTAAAATATTCAGTAACCCATGCCATAAACAGATGTATTGTTATCCAGGATTAGTTGCTTCATTTAGAGAGTACAGGCAGAGTAGATTTAGCATAATTCTTAAGGGCCCTAGGCTTTTCCGAATGGTTAATAACTCTCTCTCTCCCTCCTTCTCTCTCTCTCTCTCTCTCTCTTGCCCAGGCTGCAGTGCAATAGTATCATCCTGGCTCACCACAACCTCCACCTGCCAGGTTCAAGCAATTCTCCTGCCTCAGCCTCCCGAGTAGCTGGGATTACAGGCATGCACCACCATGCCCGGCTAATCTTGTATTTTTAGTAGAGACAGGGTTTCTCCATGTTGGTCAGGCTGGTCTCGAACTCCCGACCTCAAGTGATCTGCCTGCCTCGGCCTTCCAAAGTCCTGGGATTACAGACATGAGCCACCGCACCCAGCCCAGAAACTTTTTTCTTTTGCCTTCACAACTTGGCTGTTTGGTGCAGAAGGTCTACCTTTCAGCCTATCTTGGCTTTTGACATGCCTTCCTCACTAAGCTTAACGGTTTCTAGCTTTTGACTTAACGGAAGGATTGTGTGATGTTTCCTTTCACCTGAACAGTTACAGGCCATTGTAGGGTTATTAAATGGCCAGATTTCAATATTGTTGTGTCCCAGGGAAATAGGAGGCCCAAGGGGAAGGAGAGAGATGTGGGAACAGCTGGTCAGCGGTGCATCAGAACACATACATTTATTGTTAAGTTGGCAGTCTTACACAGGTGCAGTTTGTGGTGTCTCAAAACAATTATGGTAGTACATTAAAGATCACTGATCACAGATCACCATAACAGATATAATAATAACAATTTGAAATAATGCAATAATTACCAAAACATGACACAGAGATATGAAGTGAGCACATGCTGTTGGAAAAATGATTCCAGCAGACTTGTTCGATGCAGGATTGCCACAAACCTTCAAGTTGTAAAAAATTGCAGTATCTGCAGAGCACAATAAAATGAGGTATGCCTCATTTTCCCAAGTATTTTATGAATTTTCGTGGGTGTTTTTAGAAGTGGAATTTCTGTTTCCAAAGATTTTCTTGGTCCTCCTAGAAAATCTTTATTTATTTTTAACTTTTATTTTTTTAGAGATGGGGTCCTGCTCCATCACCCAGGCTGGAGAGTAGTGGCGTGATTATAGCTCACTGTAACCTTGGACTTTCAGGTCAAGTGATCCTCCTGCCTCAGCCTCCTGCATAGCTGGGACTACAGGTGTGCACCGCCACACCTGGCTATTTTTTTCCCAATTTAAAAACATTGTAGGCTGGGCGCGGTGACTCAAGCCTGTAATCCCAGCACTTTGGGAGGCCGAGACGGGCTGATCATGAGGTCAGGAGATCGACACCATCCTGGCTAACATGGTGAAACCCCGACTCTACTAAAAATACAAAAAACTAGCTGGGTGAGGTGGCGGGCACCTGTAGTCCCAGCTACTAGGGAGGCTGAGGCAGGAGAATGGCATAAACCCAGGAGGTGGAGCTTGCAGTGAGCTGAGATCCGGCCACTGCACTCCAGCCTGGGCAACAAAGCGAGACTCCGTCTCAAAAAAAAATAAAAATAAAAATAAAAAATAAAAAAATAAAAACATTGTAGTAAAATATACATAACATAAAATTTACTATCTCTATTTTTTTTTCAGTGTATAGTTCAGTAGCGATAAGTAGTTCACACTGTTTTGCAACCAATTTCCAGAACTTTTCCATCTTGCAAAACTGAAATTCTACTCATTTCCTCCTCCCCGCAGCCATCGTTCTACTTTTGTTTCTGTAAATCTCACTACTCTAGATATCACGTATAAGTGGAATCATACAATATTTTTCTTTTTGTGACTGGCTTATTTCACTTACCATAATGCTCTCAAGGTTCATTTATGTTGTAGCATGTGTTATAATTTCCTTCCTTTTAAAAGCTGAATATATTCCATTGTATATATATACCACGTTTTGTTTATTCATCTGTTGATGGACATCTGGGTTGCTTCTACCTTCTGGCTATTGTGAATAATGCTGCTATGAACATACATATACAAATGTCTTTTCAAGACCTTGCTTTCAATTCTCTTGCCTAGAAGTGAAATTGCTAGATCATATGGTAATTCCATTTTTAATTTTTTGAGGAACTGCCACACTGTTTTCCATAATGGCTGCACCATTTTACATCCCAACCAGCGGTGTACAAAAGTTCCAGTTCATCCACATCCTCACCACCATTTGTTGTTTTCTCTTGTTAATAGCAGCCATCCTATTGGGTGTGAGATTATATCTCATTGTGGTTTTGATTTGCATTTCCCTTATGATTAGGTGTTGAACATCTTTTCACGTCTTTTGGCCATTTGTGTATCTTCTTTTCAAAAACATCTATTCAAGTTATTTTCCCATTTTAAAATCAGGTTATTTGGGTTTTTGTTGTTGACTTGTAGAATCAAAGAATAGAAATATTTTTAAGGCTTCTGATAAAAACTACAAAACTCAGTTCTAGGAGGGTGGCACCATGTTACCCAGCCCATAAGAGTGCCTGTGATACTGTAGCCTTATCAGCACTGGATAATGCAATAAAAAGAACAAACAAAACTTGACTAATTAGTAGGCAAAATATGGTCTCATCTTAATTGTAAGCTATGCTTTCTCATGGAGGCAGACAGAAGAAGTAGTCAGCAAGCTCCACCACCATTCCACTCACCAGTAACATCAGAGGGACTCTTATGACTCCCAAAAGGTCTCAGCATCCCCCTGACTCATTAATTACTCTGTATGCTGAGTATTAAGACCCAGCCCTGTTGGTCCTCCTAGAAAATCTTTATTTATTTTTAACTTTTATTTTTTTAGAGATGGGGTCCTGCTCTGTCACCCAGGCTTCAGAGCAGTGGTGTGACTATAGCTCACTGTAACCTCGAACTTCTGGGTTCAAGCAATCCTCCTGCCTTAGCCTCCTGAGTAGCTGGGAATACAGGTATGTGCCACCATACCTGGCTGATTTTCCCCCTAATTTTTTAGAGAGAACATTTTGCTATGTTCCCAGGCTGCAGAAAACCTTCTGATCAGAGCAACTATATTCTTTATGCACATTAACTATCAGGCTTATGTCATTTCTGTGACTCTTTTTGGCCTATTTTCTTTTTCCAATAATTCTAAGACACATCAATGTGCAATCTTTTCTTACTTTGTTAACTAGCTTAAAATACTAAAAAATTAGATGTCATGGAATAGAATCTTTTTCTTTAAATATTAAGTGTCAAGTTTGGGAAACAGAAAATGCATTAATTACTTTAAAGAACTACCCACTGACAGTCACATTGTTTTCCATAAAATAAAAAAAAATGTGTCATTTAGGAAACAGGCAATCTTCAATTACTCCCTCAAATACATAAACTTTACATTGAGAAATGAACTCTCAAGATCAAGAAGGTGGTAAATACATCAAATAAGCCAATGAATGAGGGCATACCAGTACCAAATTTAGAAATGGTATACTTGAATCAACTGTTTTTGGTTTGGACTGAGTTTCAAATTTATACTTTTAGTTTTAATGTTATCATGCCTGTCATATTTTTAAAAAATGTTCCATACTAATAAAAGAACTGCAATAGTAGAAAAATAGAGGCCAGAATAGCAAAGGCACTAGTTTCTATTCTTGTCTCTCTGGCTTTCCCTGGAACATTGAATTCAGTTTTGGATTGTGCTCTCTGACTAAGCTGGCGAGGGGCATATAGGGAAGAGTTAGTAGAATTGGGCATGTATGGCCCAGAGATAAGACTCAAGAGGATCTTTCAGTTGCTTTGATGATCAGAAGGACTGATATAGCTTGGATATCTGTCCTCTCCAAATCACATGTTGAAATGTGATCCCCAAATGTTGGAGGTGGGGCCTAGAGGAAGGTGTTTGGGTCCTGGGGGTGGATCCTTCATGAATGGCTTGGTGTCCTCTATCAGTCCTGAGTTCATATGAGATCTGGTTGTTAAAGAGACTGGGACCTACCCCTCTCCCTTGCCCCATCTCTTGCTATGTGACACGCCTATTCACCCTTTGCCTTCTATCACAGTAAAAGCTTCCTGAGGTCCTGACAAGAAGCAGATGCTGGCACCATGCTTCTGTACAGCCTGCAGAACCATGAGGCAAATAAACCTCTTTTTAAAATAAATTACCCAGTCTCAGGTATTCCTTTATAGCAACACAAAATGGACTAATACAAAGGCTGGCAAGGGAAAGACTCCAACAAGAAGAACAAAGATGAGTGTCTTGAATTTGCAAGGAAACTCATTTCAGCTCCAATATAAGAACACATTTTCTACTTAGAAATCTCCAGAGAATGAGAGTGATCCAAAGCAGGACAGCTGAGCCAGGAGGCAGACAGCATTCACAAAAAGTAGAGGAACCTCTCCTGGAGGATTGTCACAGGGGAAATTCAGACACCAGGTGGAGGCAACAGAGATCCTTACAACTTAAAGATTTCTGGATCCTCTCATTTACTCTGGGAGATACTTAATTTATGCTTGGAATCACCTATGTATAGAAAACCAAAACTCACCTGCAATGATGGCACTGATTGTAAAGAAAATATGATTAACTGGCACCACTCTTGTCGTATTGTAGAGTTTCGTGGCTTGATTCAGGAACCTAGAGCAGAAGGCACTTACTGGAGCTTTGGCTTTAAGAGACATTCAGCAATAAGTTAACAATAACTTCAAGAAATGCGTGTTCTTTAGCTACAACTACAAAGGGAAAGGAGGTGCAGTGAAAGGGCATTTCCAATCAGCAGTCATAGCTTATATGCATCTGATGTATGAGATCAGATGTCAGGTTTTATGGTCTGTTTAAACCAACAACAGTAACAATGAAAAGCAATTAATCATATTCCGAGGCCACAGAAGTTTGAGTTGGAAGCGATTCAAGCTGCTGGACCAGTATCACACTGGGCCTGATTCATTAGGATAGACCCTAGAATCTGTTAAATATCATATCTGGGGAATAGTAGAGCTATCCATTGACATGCCACGTGCCAAGAAAGAAGATGGAGAAGTAAAGGAATGTTTAATGTTTCAAAAACAATGCTCAGTGCTCCAGCTGCAGAGCATATGTGGGAGCTCAGCTTCTCATTCTGGCCACCAACACAAAAGCAGTTCCCACAACTGTGCTGTGCTGCCCTGCTCGGGACTAGATTGTTTTTTGAAGCAGTGAATTGTACTATCACCGGGGTGCTTTTAAAAAGCACGAATGCTTAGGTCCTACTCTACAGCAATTGAAAAAAGTACTTTGTGGGTAGAGCCTGTGTGTATCTCTGTGTGTGTGTGTGTGTGTGTGTATACACACACATATGTAGGTATACATAAATGCATGTATGTTCTTATATGCCTGCAGGTACATATATGTACAAAAGTCAGGTCATATACATGCATGTACATATATATGTACTAAACCCAGCTCATTTTAATGGGCAACCAGGGCTGAGAACCACAGTTGTACAGTGTGATGGGTGCAGAGATTGAGACAAGGGTGACAGAATGCAGTTTACCCCCAATTGTGTCTGCCTGCCAAATTTACAAAGTATGGTATGAAGATAATGTCACTAATTCCAAAAGATATTGTGGCAGTACCAATTAATTCAGAAGAAGAAAGAGAAAAAAATAGCAAAATACAAGTATTAGAAACACAGACTTATAAGGAGATGACAAACCAGTGACAAAACATTGGGTTTCTCCAGTAATTCTCCACAGACCTTGTAACAGGGCCTATCTTCAGTCCATAACAATTAGATGGTACTTCTCGCACCTACAGAAGGAACCACTCTTGTACTGATTTTGAGCTCTGATTTCTTATCTGGGATGGTGCTTTTGCATAGCATTTTGGGGTAAACAGAAAACTTTCAGGTCAACTCAAGAAAGCCCAGCAGGCAAAGGCACAATCCCAGTGTGAGAGATGGAGGGGAAGGGATCAGAGCTGATGGAGGTCGGGGCAGGGAAGAGCAGAAATTAAAAATGTTCCATGTCACCACTATTAGGCCCCAAGAGAAACATAAAACAATCATTCCGCAATCCCATGGATACAAAGGAAATTCTGGCCAAAGATGCAACATTTTGGGGAAAGGATTTCCCTCCCGGCCAAATGTCTGGTTTCGTCCATCTCTGGGCAATTAGTGAGCATGAGCTAAGAAATGAAGGTGAAGGGTTCATGTGTGTCCTATATTTAGAATGAAAGCCTGGATGTGGACCTGCCCCTTTGATTTATTGCTAATGACAACCTGTGTACCACGGATATTAATTACAAGCAGAAGAGCATCAGGAAAGCATCAAAGTGCACTTAGCTGGATTAAGGCTGCGCTTTAGAACTCACAAGACATGAAGGCAACGCTTCGTAAAAACTCATTATTGGATGCAAAGGAGGAAGCAAGGCACATTGACTGAGGACAAGCTACAGGCCCTTCACCCTTAGAAATCAGTTGTATCTCATTTTAATTATCATCTGAAGTCAATAAAGATTAATGCCCAGAGAAGCACAGGAATGTTGAAAGATTAGTGAGTATGCAGAAGCTAACTTACTTGACTTGGAAAACACAAGATGCTATCATGATGATAAACATGATATAGAAAATGGGATAAGTTAGTTGCATTTTATCCGTCATAGAAAAAGTGATCATGCCTGAGACGGCCTTTACTGAAATAACAGTCAATGAGGCTGAAAAAGAAAACAAAAAACACAAAGAACATATTTGAGATTGAATTAACAAATAAATATCTTAAGCTTATGTGGTAGAGTAGCAAATACACCAATTATGGTTTAAGAATGAACATGGTTGTGGGAGGTGTAGGAAGGAATGTGACAGTAGTAAGCAGTGGCCTCATTGCTCGAGCCGTGCTGGATTTCAAATTTGCTTAAATCAGCTAAAGTTCTGCTGTGTGACTGTGTGCTTTTTTTTTTTTTTTAATCTTTGGAGCAAGATGCTTCTTTTCCAGCCCTAACTGTTGAAAGAATGCTGTGGAGGTTATAATTACGAGTAGATGGGAAAGGCAAAAACAATGGAGGGAGGAGATAAGAAAAGTCAGATTGTCCACGTGACATTAATGAGAAAAATAACTATTAAGCTATACTGAAAATTTAAAAACCAAATAGATGAGAAGACTAGAAAGTGAAATGTAACTCACTTCTTGAATTTACTTAGAGTTGTACTAAGTCATTGCTTCTCAGCCTTTTGGCTAAGATCAAGTGAGTTGTACTAAGTCTATATATAAGCCTTTTTGTTAGGAGACACCTAGAAGTTTCACTAAAAATATTTTTGACAATGACAATAATTGGAAAGAGGACCAGAGTTGAGTATTCATTTGTCAGCGTGGACCATCAATTTAAGGTTTACATAAGCAATAACTAGGTATTTTCTATGCTAAAGATGAACTCATCCCTTATGAGAACAAACTTTTCATAGGTTCCAAACAGCCATTAAGAAAAAGTAACTTGATAAGGTTATATCACTATGAGAGTAATGGAGCATTTTCCGACAACATCATCTTTCTGTAAGGAAGAAAAGAATGCTTTCTGTCTTATGTCTCTTGAAGTTACTGCTGCAAATAATTCCATAATTTAGCTAAAATTCACTGAAAGTTCAAAAATAATTTTTACATGAAATCAAAAAATTATAAGTCAAAGGCAATGCAAAGGAGAAATACTCCCTTTGTTGCTGTTGAACTACTTGGCCATAATATATCTGAATTTTCCTCCTTTTATTTGAAAAGGTATTTTTTATATATATATATGAAATATATATACATTTAAAACAGCGAGTGGTGGCCAGCCAAGAAGAGTCTTCCATAATATCGTTTTCCAAAAACTGAAAATATACTTTAACTTGAAGGGTACTAGGGCACACTTCCAAATTAGGCATTTTCTTTCAGTTAAAAATCATAATTGGCCGGGCGCGGTGGCTCACGCCTGTAATCCCAGCACTTCGGGAGGCCGAGGCGGGCGGATCACCAGGTCAGGAGATTGAGACCCTCCTGGCTAACACGGTGAAATCCCGTCTCTACTAAAAATACAAAAAATTAGCTGGGTATGGTGGCAGGCGCCTGTAGTCCCAACTACAGCTAATCTGGAGGGTGAGGCAGGAGAATAGCGTGAACCCGGGAGGCGGAGCTTGCACTGAGCCGAGATCGCGCCACTGCACTCCAGCCTGGGCGACAGAGCAAGGCCAGACTTCGTCTTAAAAAAAAAAACAAAAACCATAATTGACACAGGAGATCAGGTAATAAATTCTAAAAATAAACCCCAGTTCTCAACAAAGAGGCCCTTACAATCAGGTCTCTCTCCATCTTAAGATGTCTTTTGACCTGATTCTTTTACATATTTCCTATTGATTATGCCAATAGTCACATCTTAGCTAACCTAGGCACTTTAAATAGCTATAGAGATCTGTGTGTCACTTGATGGTTTAAGTTTGTAGGTTAGCTCTTGAGGGACCTTGATTCCCTCCTAAACACTGCCTGAAATCAGAGCACAATGTGATTATGATCTTGTGGTCTGAACAGCCAGGTTTCCCAAAGGGACAATTAATGGAGAAGGAGTTGAACGTACGGTTCCATTAGCCTCAGAACCTCAGAATTACAAAGGACTTTAAAGGTCATCTGATTTAACCACTATCTGATTTTATATTATACTTAAATAAAGACAAAAACAAAACTAGAATTCTCTGTTATTGATAGCTAAACAAACTATCAATTTCTGTAGCCAATCATTATATTTTCAAAGCATGCGCAATTGTCAACTGATTAATCACTATTTTAACCTGTAAGTTATTTCTAGGCTGGTGTTGAGTACTTCTAAGTATTTTTGGGGGGTAGTTGATGAGGATAGGTGGAAATACAGAATTGTAATGCAGTGTTCTTCTAACATTATACTTAAAAACAGAAAGTACTTAGGTAAACACAGAAAAAAAGACTAGAAGAAACTACATCAAGATATTGTCAGTGGTTATCTCTAGCACTGGGATAATGAATTAACTTTAAATTCATTTAAAAAAATCTACAAAAGTAAACACATTCATTTAAAAATTTTTGGAAAATGTGGAAAAGCCTGGAAAGGAAAATTAAAATCACTTGTAGTTTCAGCACTCACCCCAAATCATTTTTGACATTGGGACATATTGTTATTTTCCTATCTATAAGTATGAATATGTTACAACATGTGAATCATAAGGTATATACTACTTAGGAGCTTATTTTCCAAGTATATACCACTTAGGAACCTATTTACCTAAAGTAAATAGATTTTACCTAAAGTATTTTCTATGCCATTAAGTATTCTTCTAAAGCATGGATTTGTATGAATTGTATATGAATATATAATTTATTTTGGCAATTCCCTATTTTTGGATATTTAGATTGTATTTTTTTTTTAAGTGTTAAAAGCGTGGCTGTGATGAATATTCTCGAACATAAGTCTTTGTATATCACTCTGCCTATTTCCTTAGGAAAACCACCTAAAGGGGAATTCCTGACTACAGCCACTTTGAGGGCTTGTGAAATATACTAGCAAACTGCCTTCCAGAGAGTACCAGCCACACTCTGTTGTACAGTGCTCAGTTACACAGATTTTCATATTTTTCTTTGTATCTTTCTCTATTTTCTTAATTATCAATAATTACCATATATACTTTCATCATTAGAACAACACCATTTTTTCTAACCTGTGCTGACCTGTTCTTGAAATTTGGCCCTCTCAATTCCCTCTTAGATTTTCATCAATATACCTCCTTCCAAAAATTTTCCTAGGTTGCCATCAACGTTTCCTTATGAGAGCCATAAACATTTTATTTATTAATTTATCTCTGATAACCAAAGCATTCCATGGATAGAGAAGGACTTCCTGGCCTTCCTAGTTTCCTGACGGTCCCAGAGGCTTTGGAGTACTTTCTTTTTTTTTTTTTTGAGATGGAGTTTCACTCTTGTGGCCCAGGCTGGAGTGCAATGGTGCGATCTCAGCTCACTGCAACCTCCGCCTCGTGGGTTCAAATGATTCTCCTGCCTCAGACTCCTGAGTAGCTGGGATTACAGGTGCCCACCACCACACCCAGCTAAGTTTTGTATTTTTAGTAGAGCTGGGGTTTCACTATGTTGGCCAGGCTGGTCTCAAACTCCTGACCTTAGGTGACCCACCTGCCACGGCCTCCCAAAGTGCTGGGATTACAGATTGAGCCACCGCACCAGGCCTGGAGTCCTTTAAGAATGATCACCACCACTGGCAAAGGGGGCCACTCACCAGAAGTCAGGTTTCTTTCTTCTGACTACCCTCACTTGCTATTTTCTTTTTTTTATTCCAGTCTTTATCAATCACACAAGCAATATTATGTATTTTGCTACCTCTCATGGATACAACGTGACTTTGATAATCACTTTTTTAAAGGGTACTAATGCTCATTGTGCAATATTCAAGATGAGCACACGGTGCAGAGTGAGCATCCTGGTTCTCATTTCTTGTTGTAATGAGAACACTTCTGGTATTTCACCAGCAAGTTCTTTATTAGGAGTGCATATGAAACTTGATGAACTATATTAATGAATTTCTTAAAGAATCCCTCTTTCATTCCCATAGTTAATTAAATTCACATGTTTACTGTGTGCTCACTGTGCTCAATTCTACTTAAAGAATGTATACTGTAAATAATAGACATGCTCTATGTCCTCATGTAGCTAACCTGGCCAGGAAGAGGGGCTCATAACAGCATATAAACATATACGTAGAATATGTAAGTGTAAATTGTTGTAAGTGTTACAAAGAAGAATCAGTTTTATTAAGACCACTTGGGCCAGGTGCGGTGGCTCATGCCTGCAATCCTAGCACTTTGTCAAGGTGAGGCAGGCAAATCACTTGAGCCTAGGAGTTTGAGACCAGCCTAGGCAACATGGGGATACCCTGTCTCTCCAAAACAAAAATAATAAAAAATAAATAAATTAGTCAGGCATGATACCATGCATCTGTAGTCTCAGCTACTCAGGCGGCCGAGGTAGGAGGATCGCTTGAGCCTGGGAGTTTGAAGCTGCAGTGAGCTATGATTGTGCCACTACACTCCAGTCTGGGTGACAGAGCAAGGCTCTGTCTCAAAACAAAACAAAGACCACTTTGTCACTGAGTATGATTTGCTCTGTGTTTATTTGCTGATTTTTTTTTTGATTTTTGTATCAATATTTAGCAGTGATATCAGTTCATAGTGTTTTTTGTTTGTCCCATTTTTTTCCCAGTTTGGGAGGTGAGTCTTATCTGATTATGTTTTTTTAAAAGTAAAAGCTTCCTTCTTATGTCCTCAAATAGTTGCAACAACATCAGAATAATCTATTCCTTAAGGATTTGAAGATATTACCTTTGGAACTCTCTAGGCCTGGTTCTTTTTTAGGATATAGCTTTTTAACAACTCCTTTATTTCCTCCGTAGTTATTTTCATTAAAAAATAAGCAATTTATTCAAATGATATATATGCATATCTATTGTTTCTATTTTGGGGTATTTGTGGTTTTTCTTTTTTTCTGATGGAGGATCTATTTTACTGTCTTTTTTTTTTTTTTTTTTTTTTTTTTTTGAGATGGAGTCTAGCTCTGTCACCCAGGCTGGAGTGCAGTGGCGTGATCTCAGCTCACTGCAAGCTCTGCCTCCCGGGTTCACGCCATTCTCCTGCCTCAGCCTCCCCATTAGCTGGGACTACAGGCACCTGCCACCACGCCTGGCTAATTTTTTGTATTTTTTAGTAGAGACGGGGTTTCACTGTGTTAGCCAGAATAGGATGGTCTCGATCTCCTGACCTCGTGATCCGCCCGCCTCGGCCTCCCAGGGCTCTGGGATTATAGGCGTGAGCCACCAGGCCTGGCCTATTTTATTGTCTTTTAAGAACACATTGTTGTGTTTAGTTATAAATCCATTACTTTTCTCTATTCTATTTCATTAATTTTTGTCTTTTTAATTAATTTTAATTAATTATTTCTGCTTTCCTTAGTTTTATTTCAGTATTTTTTCTAATTTCTTGAGTTGAGTGCTTAATTGACTTACATTTAAAGCAATCAATTTCTCTGAGTACAGCATTAGTCAGAAACTCTAGGTTTAATATTAAGTGTTTTAATAATAATTAAAAAATATGCTGCAATTAAATCTTGGTTTCTACTTTGCACAGCTGCAGTTTAAGGGTAGTGTTAACATTTCCAGGTGGTAGGGTTTTACTGGTTTCTATTTTTATTATTATTTTTCTGTTTTTATTTCACTGTGATCTGAGGATGTGGTCTGTACTGTTTCAACTTCCTGGAATTTATCAAGGATTTCTTCATGGCCAATTATAGGATCAACTTTTGTAAATGTTACACAGGCACTTGAAAGAGAGTTTATTCTCTGTTTTCAGGCTTTAGAGTTCAATATTACAGGTACCAGTTCATAATTAATTATTCAGATCCTCTGTCTTTATATGGTTTTCTGTCTAATTATCTTCCATGAGCTGAGAGAAGTCGCCTAAACGCCTTATATTTCTGTTAATGTAGTTTTGCATTTTCTGCAGATTTTCTGTTGCATGTTGGGTATGATATTTTTGTGGATTGTGCTCTTTTTGTCAGGATAAATTACCCCTTTTGTCTCATTTAATATCTTCTGCCTTAATTTTCATTTGGTAATATCATGACCTGCTTTGTTTTACTTTCAACCTCATTTATTTTGTTTTAGATGAAAATTTATGCATGTAGCCAAAACACTTTGCCATCTGCAAGGGCCAATCAGAAAGGGTGCCGGCCCTGGCACTGCTGGAAGAGGGTGCTGGAGGGCTCCTGTCTTAGTACTTATGACAGGGTTGGGGTTGAGAGGAGGAGATCTTAGGGGAAGGAAGCATGGTGGCTGCTATTTTAATAACCCTTACAGCTGTACTAGTGCAAATTGGCTGAATCCAACTTCAGAATCATTTTCAAAATCAATCTGGAAGTTTCCCTGACATCCAATTTGAGAATGTTTCTTTTTTTTTTTTTTTTACTAGGTAAACGTATTCCATTTACATTTATTATAACTGCTACACATTATCTTAATTCTGTTATCTTACATTCCTATTTAAAGTTGTCTTCATTTTCATTATTTTCCTATATAAGGTACATTTTGTTTCTTAGATGTCTGCTTTTGTTTTCCCTATTTGGTAATTTGGAAAGAAACAAATATAAAGTTCTCTTTCTGTTCTCTTGATCTACAGCATACCTGAATATAGCACAGAGTACATTTGTTTCTCTAAGTAACTATCAAAAACACAAATTTACTAGCACAAAGGAGAGAACTAGTTGATGAGATGGGAACATGAAAACCCAGCAGCTCATTACGATGGAGGCTACATGCTGCCCCAGGGGTAGGAGTACGGCCTTCCAAGTCATGGCAAACAGCACGCGATGCGTGGGCCATCTGACTGGCAAAGAGGAAATGAAGGAAGATTTACAAATATATTTTTATAAAGGGAATTTCCTAAATGATTAGTGAGATCTCCTAGTGTTGGTATATATGAGTGAGAGTGTGTGTGTGTAGGGGTGGGGGAAAGAGAGAGAGAGAAAGAGAGAAAGGGGCAGGGACAGAGAGACAGAAGGAGGCAGAAAAGAAGGGAGTGAAGATACGTTAAAAAATACATAGTGGGCTTATCTAAGCACTATTTTCATCTCTAACAAGGTGCCTCTGGAAAAACAAAGTAAATGGGTTGGTAAACAATGAATGCAAGAAATGTGGTATTTAAGAAAATCATACTGCTTACATCTACATTTCCTATTAGTCATATTACAAAGTTTTTAAAGAAAATATTAATAGTATAGGTCTTGCTAACCAATTCCTGACACAAGAGTTTCAATTGGGATCATTAATTTGTTTCTCTTTTAAGATTTTCAATTACATATTAACAAAATATCTTCAAATTATCAGGGAGCAAATAAAGTTATCAAGAAGCAAAAAATCCTTAAATATATTTTTAAAAGAATTAAATATCTAACCAATTGCAGTAATGGACAGGCAATATATAATTTTTATAATTTAGACTCAGTTTCTTCCTGTAGATCAGAGCTGAAAAATATAAACAATGAGAAAGGAGTAGAATGCTTAAGTATTTTCCTTCAAACCTCATTTATGATTCAGCACAGCTCAATTAAAGAATAAGAAAACAAAATATGCCTTTACCTAGAAGTGCCACCAGGGTTAGCAGAATCACCATGTGCTTCATTCCTTTTCTTTTGTAGAAATATAGGAGAATGCAGAAAATTAATATTTCTAAAATCTAGAAATGAAAAAGATGAAAAAGAGTAAGTTATTCTACACAAAGTCTTCAAAATGTCACACTTCTCATTTTGATTTTTGCAGCAGTTCTCATATGAGAGTTGAGGGTGACTGAAGTTCCTAGGGACGACACAGGAGAGCAGCATAAGCACCTCGGCCATCCAGACCCGGAGCTCGAACACCCCTCTCCGCCAGTGATGCCCAATCTAGATCTCCAGTCCTAACCTCCCTGGGAGTTCAGCCTCATTTCCTCAAGTATCTACGGGACATTTCCACATGCATGTTTAATAGACACGCCACAGTAATGTGGGTAACACCTCCCACTTGATTCTCTACCTTCCCAGCTTGTTCCTCCAGGGCCTTTGCCCTCCAGTTAGTAGCATTCCCACACTCCCTGTTGCACAAACCCCAAACCCTTCCCTTTCCCTCACTCTCTGCCTTCCTCTCTAGACAGCTGCATTTGCTTCTAACTCATCTCTGATTTTACTCTTGCCTCTCTATAATCCAGCCATTCCACAGCCAGAGGAATCATTTAAGAACACAATTTGGATAATGAAATATTTTATTCATGGAGAACATATATGATACACATCAAAGGGATTTAGAGTAATATGACAGGCACTCACAGATTCTCTACTCAAACTAACAAACAGAACCTACTGACACCTCTGAAGTTGCTCATGTGCCCCTCTCCAGCTGCACTCCCCTCCTCCTTCAACCTCCCCAGGAATCACTATGCTGAAAATTTGTGTTTATTATTTACTTTCTTTATAGTTTATTGCATTTCTATGTGTCCCTAAATGGTACCCAGTTTACTTTTGCATGTTTGGACTTTATACAAGTGGACTCATACTTGCTTTCACTCGTTTGTTTTTCTCCACCATGTATTATATTTGTGACATTCTTCCAGGATGATGCATGTAGTAAAAATATAAACTAGACCCATTCATTCCTTTGCCGAAACCTCCTGTGGTTTCCTACCACATTTAGAATAAAATCCAAACTTCCTTCTGGATCACAAAGTTTTAGGCAACTCCCTGGACCTCATTTTGTACCACTCACTCCTGGATGGTCCACTCTGTGCCAGCCTCATGGCAATTTTTAAAAATTCTTTTTTTTTTTTTCCTAGTTCTTTCCAATCTTCAGATTGCTCCTGCCTGTGGGCCTTTGCACTAACTGCTCACTCTGCCTGGAATGCTCTTTCACTGATCTTTGCACAATGGCTCCTCCAAGTCACTCAGCTCACAGGTCAAATGCCACCTCTCTGAGAGTTCTTCTCTGACTCTTCTGATCTAACGGAGCCACTCATTATCCTGTCACACCCCCAGCTTCAGGTCGCGGTGGAGCATTTTGCCATCATCATTTCTTGTTCATATGTTTATGTGTTTCTTGTCTGTCTTCCCTACTGGAATGCCAGCCCTAGGACAGGAATCTTACCCACTCTTTTTGCCACTCAATATCTGGTGCCTGGCACACAGTTGGTCACTCAATGAGTACTGATGGAATTAATGAGTAAATCACACCTCAAATTTATTATGAATAAGTCACCAAAAAAGACCTAATGTCTGAAAAAGTGACTGTTCAATAAATATTAATTGACTAAAAGTCTAAAATTTTCCTGTCCTTAAGAACTTTAGTGTAATTTTGAGTTCTCAGTTTTATTTTTGTTTTAACTTTTTTTTTTTTTTTTTTGGAGATGGAGTCTCACTCTGTTGCCCAGGCTAGAGTGTAATGGCTCGATCTCAGATCACTTAAACCTCTGCCTCTTGGGTTCAAGTGATTCTCTTGCCTCAGCCTCCCAAGTAGCTGGGATTATGGGTGCCTGCCACCATACCTGGCTAATTTTTGTATTTTTAGTAGAGACAGGGTTTTGCCATGTTGGCCAGGTTGGTCTTGAACTCCTGACCTCAAGTGATCCACCCGCCTTGGCTTCCCAAAGTGCTGGGATTATAGGCATGAGACACCGCACCCAGCCCAGGCTATTATTTTTGACGAGATAGTATTCTTGGGCTGAATTCGTAAGTGTGAATGTTTACTTTTCTACCAGCAGACAGTACCATCACTAATTTTTTTTCTCTTTTTTTTTAACCACAGGAGTTAGGGACTTCACTATTTACAGGAATGCATTCTACCTACAACGCCTTCTCTAAATCAACTTATATTTGTTTCCATTCAAGGATTTGCTTGTAGGTTTGTTTTTTTCTCTATTCCTTTGTGGGCATGGGAAAGAGCAGGCCCTTATCTTCCTCATTAAAAAACCTTTTCATCTAATACGGAAGATGAAATCATCCCTTTGTCTTTTCTTCTCCTGGTAAATTAAACCAATTATTTTAACTGTTTCTTATGGGACTTATTTGCCAGACCTTTAATTTAATTGAGTAGTGCTACAAAAGCTATTAAACTTGTATCTCTTTGCCTTCCCTAAAATGGCCATCAAAACATTGGATGTCCTAATTTCTGTGCATTTCGCCAATTGTTAACAGAAATATCCCTCTGGGCCTGGTCTCCCCTCCACCACAGGCTTCCACTTCTCACATGAGACAATTATAGACAGTTCACAGCAGCGTTTGGGCCTCTGTGTTTGTTGCGGGAGAAAAGAAAGCTCTTCCTGCGTTAACACACAGAGCCTGTTAGGTAAATCGATTATCATGCTGATTATTAATTTTTGCAGGTATTTGTTATCAGGTCTAGAAACCATGTATGACTTTTTTCATGTATGGGCAAATTCCATCTCTGTGGCTTCAGATAAATAAAACATGAGTTCCCATTATTCACAGAATAACTATAGTTGCCCTGGTTCTGCCTTGTGGCAAGAAGTCACACAGCTCCTAGGAATAAAATATTAAAGCAGTATGAATTAATGCCGATTTTTTTCTAGCAACATTTTTTTTTTCTCCCTGAAAACATCAATATTAAAGAAGCTGTGATTTCTGCAGGTTGCGGTGCCCCAGGAAGGGGCTGCATTATTGATTGCAATCTCACAGGTTAGAAAAAGTAACAGCACTTACTGAGTCCCCCGCACCCTGTGCACTGTTCCCAGAGCTTCCTGTTACGAATTCATTGAATCCTCACAATCACTTAGGAGGTAGGTGCTGTCGTCGGTTTACAGGTGAGAAAACTGAGGCTCAGAGGGGCAAAATGATGCAGCTCTGATAGGCAGCATGATGGCCCCATAGGAGTCCCTGGTCTAATCTCCAGACGCTGTGAAGATGTTACTTTACATAGCAAAGGGGTTTTCTATTAGGTTGGTGGGTTGGTGCAATTCTTCCTTCCTTTGTTTTCTGTACCAGATCAGAGGAAAAAGTTCCTGGGCCTTGTACCTGTGAGGCTTCCATTTAATGTAAGCCTTGAAGGAAAAACAGACAATTTTCAATTTTCCCACTGAAAATAACTACCTTCAATGGGAAAAACCTCAATTACTTTTGCACCAACCTAATGCAAAGAGCACTGGCAGCTGAAGGGGTGCATGGCAAAAGAGATAGACAAAATTTTAGCACTGGATGCCCCACTGCCAGTACCAATATCTGAGCCCGATTTGACCTCATCTTGCCTCACCAAGTTCTCAAACGCATAGCCTATGGCCTAGCATATGGCTTCTCTGTCCAAAAGAAATGAGCTCTGCAAAGTTTCTCTCTAAGGCCATATTTGGACAAAGATCTGATCCTTGGTGGTCGGTTTATTAATTCTGCAGAGAGGCATTGAGTGAGGTGTATTGGCATGTGCACCCCAGAAGTGAACAAACTGGTTTTGAGTTTTGGCTTGATCACTTAGTACTTATGTGACCTTCAACAAGTTCCTGGGCCTTCCCCAGCCTCAACTTCCCCATCCATTAAATGCAGAGGATAACAGTGTCCCATGTATAGGGCCAGTGTGCAGGTAAAGAGCAGAATGTAATCTGAGCTAGACGTAGGGCTCAGCCACTCAGAGAGTGGCTGCTGCTACCAAAGAGGTGGACTCTTGTGTGGATGCACAAGTGCTATTTGCATTCAGACAATAAAGCAAATAACATCATGCCATAGATATTGATATCCTATAAAAACATACAGTTTTCTCCCTTAGGTTTCTAATACCTGATGGTGGGTTTTGTCGCAGCCGTGCCAGAAAGGCTGACTTAATAATCAGGTTTAGGGTACAGAATGACACCAAATGACAGGGTTGGCCCCAGCATCTGCTGGTTTAATTTTTTTGTCTGAGAGAAAATGAGCAATGTGCAGATTATTTTGTGAAGGATTTTATGTTCACAAAAGAGGTTTCCATTTGAATAGTCTTTTGGAAAATCTGGGTGAGCAAAATAGCCATGACCAAGCCTGCCAAAGAACATGAAGTAATTGAGAATTAGGGCTGCATTTTCTAACGTGGGTTTTGCAGAACACGTTTGCTCATAGGTATTACTCAACAAAAGGTCCTTCCAAGAAAAGGGCCTCATGGTCGAAGTAGCCTGGGGCATGTAGGACGAACAAAATCAAACCTTTCTCATTCTTACAGGACTTCTGGCTTTTAACATGCTAACAGAGATGATGAATTTCTCAGACAGGCCATGTTATGCAGAATTTTCCTCACCTAGTTTGACCTTGAAAATCCCACTTCTCTTTGTGTTTTGGCAAGGATCGGGATTGTCCGTCTGCGGCAGACAGGCTGGGAGAGGCTGTTTCAGTGAGTGAGTGGAGGGCACTTTATTCTTCTCTGGCTGGTATACACTGGGCTTCTCAAATCTTCCTTCCTTTCTTTTCTGTACCAGATCAGAGGAAAAGCTACTGAACCTTGTTCCTGTGAGGCTTCCATTTAATGTAAGCCTTGAAGGAAAAACAGACATCTGTCTGGGGCACGCAAACACGCAAAACAAGGGGTTGATGTGAGCCAGTGGGTGCTGCAATATTATAATTCCTTTTGTGAGAAATATAAAATGTATTCAGGCTTATAAATATTTTAGAAGTTATTTGATCAGTCCTGAAAGCCAATTCAGGTGCTCTTATTTATACTTGGTATAATACATAGAGTTAGATGAATGATATGTCAAAGAATAGTCTTAATTACTGTAATTATTATCTTTGCAGTCAGGGCTTGCAGAAAAGCATAGAATTTGCCATATCTGAGGATTAAATATTACTTAAGTGTTTAACAGATTCAAACCAAATTTCAGCTCACAATCTTAGTATAAAATACATCACTTCTAGAGTCTTTAGAGATGCAATTATATAATGGATTAAATTACAAATGAATATAATATAGATCTATTCCCCTTAGGGTCTAATGCCAACAGTGTTATTCAAAAGTAATTTTATTAAAGGTTTATTTTATGCTATGTTATAAATACCTGAAATTATTTACATTTTTCTCTGTGGCATTTACTTTCAAATATACTTTCTTTATCTTAATATGATTTTTCAGATATATGGGTTTCTCCCAGAACTGTAAAATTCCTGCTACGGGAATTCCTGTCTCTAAACTTGGTGTCTAATCACCACTTAATGGATGAGTGAATAAATGGATGAATAAATTTATTTTAAGAGTTGATTTTGGAAAAATGGCAAACTGCAACTCAACTCAGTACTTTTTGTGGAAATATACAGTTTAATAAAAAGTAGTTTGGATCTCTTCAAATGTTTTCTCTGGTGTTAAAACAATACAAGATACAGCATCATTAAATAATGCTGTTTATTCCAGGAAATAAGTCTTGATGCATCTTTAATATACAAAGGATTTAACTCATGCCATTAATTTTCTGGTTTCAGGCTATGTGACCCTTTTCTTAACTAGATGAAGAATTTATTTTGCCTGCAGGCGAAGAGTAATAATTTGTTGGTAGGGCTTCAAGTCTGGATTATCATGAAATTTTCTGTAAAGTATAAAAGACAGAAGTAAATCACAGAGATCTAGTGCTTATCATTGACTGACAAAAGCTGTGATAATTAAAGAACTGAGTGCGGCATAGAAGTAGGAAGATAAATGGGGCAGAGGGGTTGGCACAAAGTATGACAGACCCGAGGAAGGCGATCTGACTTGGGAAGCCCAATCTTAAAGGCTGAAGGAGGGCAGGGGTGAGGGAAGAGCTAGGAAGTGACAGCACTAGGGTAGAAATAAGGCCTATGAAAATGGATTTTGGGGCCATAACATATGAGGATCAGGGATTTAAATAGGCAGGGCACTGTGACTGATGGCCTGATTGATTCATTGATCAACCAGTACAAGTTCATGTCCTGAAGAAGTGCAGGGTCTTCTGAAATAAGACAGGCAGGTAAATAGATAAAGAGGTCCAATCTGAGCCATGCCCATGAGGGTAAGTTTTCAGGGGTCATAAGGAGATGGGGCTGTGGGTCAAAGGAGGTAGGGGAGGCAGACAGGTACAACAGCACTGCGTTATATGGCTGGAGGGGGCTCACTGGTCAGATTTGTTTATTAGGAGGAGCTTGTACCAGTGTTGATGATGAACAACAGGGGAGGCAGCCTTGTTAAGAGGCTGCTGACACAGTTCAAACAAGAGATGGTGGAAGCCTGAATTAATGCAACAGGAATGGAAATGTGAAAAAGGGGTCAAGTTCAAGAGACTTTACATTTCCAAAAGGATCAGGGGTAGGAGTGAGGAATGAGGGTGAAGGAGAAGTCATGTGTAGTTTAGGTTTCCAGTATGGGAAGCTGACATGGAAGAGAAGAGAGAGTCTGGGAGAGAAGATAGTTTGTTTTTGGATATGTTACAATTGAGGAGACGATGGGATGCCCAGGCAGGGATGAGTAATATGTGGACAGATGAGAATATAGATCTGGAGCCCAGGAGGTGCCTGGGAAGGAGAGGTAGGTCTGGATTAAGACGTCTTTAAAAAGGTTGCTGGTGGGTGGGCAATGGGATTCTTTTAGAAGACCTTGGAAGAGTGTGCAGCATCAATAGAAGTGAGGCAGAGGAAGAGGAGGTGCTCAAGAGTCTGGCGTGGATTAGTCAGAGAGGAAGAAGAGAAACAGGGAAAACATGTGGAGGAAGCAAGGAGGAGAGAGGTTCTAGAAGATAATGGGCCAGGGAGTAAATGCTGCATAAGGTTCGAGAAGAATCAGGACCAAAAAGCAATTCCTTTGGCAATTCATGGAGAGGGATTTACTTTTCCAGACTTCTCCTACACCCTCATTCGTCACTCCTAGTCCCCTTCCTGTTGGGAATGTAAAGCCTCTAGAACTTGGTCCTTTTCTACATTCCCATTCCCATCGCATTAATTCAGGCTTCCATCATCTCTTGCTTGAACTGTGTCAGCAGCCTCTTAACAAGGCTGCCTCTCCTTTCTGTTAATCATCAACACTGTGGCTACAAGCGCCTCCTAATAAACAAATCTGACCAGTGAGCCCCCTCCAGCCACATAATGCAGTGCTATTGTATCTGTCTGCTGTTCCCTCTACTGGCAATATCCCCCTACCTCCTTTGACCCACAGACCCATCCACAGATTGGAATGAGTGAAGAGTCAGTGGGAGCTGAGGAAGTGGACAGGACCAGCAAGAGTAGATTATTTGAAGACATTCTTGGTAGTAAATGGCAGGAGTGAAATTGGGCAGTTTATTAAAAGGGTGTGTAGTGTATGAGAATTTTTTTAAAATAGAGAAACCTAAGTATCTTTGTAGAGCAAGAGAAAGGAGTAGAAAAGGAAATGAAAGTGAAAAGATCTGTAGATATTTGTGTTCTAGTGGTCAGAGTACATATCAGAAATGGTAGGATATATAGAATTCTTGTCATACACACTAGGAACTGCTTCAGTCATGTACTTAGAGCAAATTTAATCAGTAGACACATCCCTGTAAATGCCAATGTCACACTTTTCAATACTAGGCATATAAAGTAGGATCATACTATTTTATCTGTTTTAATGGCAGAAGGTTAGACCGGTTAGCTTTTGAGGTCACTTCTAATCCTAATAGTGTGTGCTTTGATTCTTTTTCTTTTTTTTTTTTCCTTTGTCTTGAGACAGGGTCTCACTCTGTCACCCAGGCTGGAGTGCACAGCTGCAATCACGGCTCACTGCACCCTTGACCTCCTGGGCTCAAGATCCTCTCATCTCAACTCCCAGTAGCTGGGACTGCAGGTGCATACCACCCTGCCTGGCTAATTTTTAAAATTATTTGTAGAGATGAGGTCTTGCCATGTTGCCAGACTGGTCTCAAACTCCTGGGCTCAAGCGATTCTCCCACCTTGGCTTCTCGAACTGTTGGGTTACAGACGTAGGCCACCATGCCCAGCCTGATTCTTTTTATTGTTTTCACAACTATTTTACCAAACCAGTTCTTGGTTAAATGCTCAGCTAGACTATCCCAGCTTTCTTTTATTACCTACCCTTCCTAGAATATTATTATTCCCCAATCTGTACCAACTTCTGTGACAAGTTGCATATCAACCCTTTTGATCATATTCTCTTTATACCTACAGATACAGCCACTGCATCAAGCGAGATAACCCAGTTAACGCCTTCATATTTCTCTACTTCATTCTTTTTATTTTTTTGAGACAGAGTTTCACTCTTGTCGCCCAGGCTGGAGTGCAATGGCACCATCTTGGCTCACTGCAACCTCCGCCTCCCAGGTTCAAACGATTCTCCTGCCTCAGCCTCCCAAGTAGCTGGGTTTACAGGTGTGTACTACCACTCCCGGCTAATTTTTGTATTTTTAGTAGAGATGGGGGTTTCACCATGTTGGCCAGGCTGGTTTCGAACTCCTGACCTCAAGTGATCTGCCCGCCTCGACCTCCAAAAGTGCTGGGATTAAAGGTGTGAGCCACTGTGCCCAGCCTCATTTGATTCTTTTACACATCTGTTGGTATTGTAGTACTGTTGTGTGCTCCTCTCAGATAATCTGTAGCATTGATCTCAACAAGGACTTAAAAAAAATTAATAGAACACTTTAATCTTTTTCAATGGAAAAATTAAAGATATAAAATTTAAAATATAATAAAAGAGAAAAATATACAAGTTTAAATATTTTGTATTGGTTGACAGTACTAATGGGAATATAAATGAATATGGAAATTCTGGAGGGCAGTTTGTCTACATCTATCAAGTTTTTTAAAAAATTATTATACTTTATGTTTTGGGATACATGTGCCGAATGTGCAGTTTTGTTATGTGGGTATACACATGCCATGGTGATTTGCTGTACCCATCAACCCGTCACCTACATTACATATTTCTCCTAACGCTATCCCTTATGCTCATCATCACTGGTCATTAGAGAAATGCAAATCAAAACCACAATGAGATACCATCTCACGCCAGTTAGAATGGTGATCATCAAAAAGTCAGGAAACAATAGATGCTGGAGAGGATGTGGAAAAATAGGAACACTGTTGGTGGGAGTGTAAATTAGTTCAACCATTGTGGAAGACAGTGTGGCGATTCTTCAAGGATCTAGAACTAGAAATACTATTTGACCAAGCAATCCCATTACTGGAAATTTACCCAAAGGATTATAAATCATTCTACTATAAAGACACATGCACACATATGTTTATTGCGGCACTATTCACAATAGCAAAGACTTGGAACCAACCCAAATGTCCATCAATGATAGACTGGATTAAGAAAATGTGGCACATATCTACCATGGAATACTATGCAACCACAAAAAACGAGGACTTTTTTGAAGAGAACCCCTATTTTGAATAAAGTTCAGTAAAGCAAAATGTGTCCTCAAGTATTGTCCCTTCAACTTGGAAGGGAATGTTTTGTTTTATTCTGAGTTGTCCTAAAACATGTTGCTTTGGAACTTGCTGGATTAATTGATGTGGAAATTGTTCCAGGAAAGGATATCTGGGAAACTAAGGGTGCTTCTATTGCTGACTTAGTAATTCAAATACTTTGGTGTTGGTCAAATACATTTACATTTTAATAAGATATTAGTGCTGGTGAGGAAAAGGTTATGTTCTCTAATATCTGCATGTACCAGTGGTCTGGATAATACAGATTTGGGGATAGTGAAATATTTAGAATTCTTACCACATAGATCAGGAACTGCCATCCGACAAAATAATACTGCACTGTTCTTGCTGAGATTGCCTGAGTTATATTTGGAGCAAAGTTCACCAGTAAATATGTTCCTGCAAATGCCAGTGTCATACCTTTAAATAAAATTGAAAAGAAAAACCAAATTGAAACCAACCTAAAGCTTTTTGTTGACACAGACATTGCCTAGAGACTGAGCATTACTTGTAAAAGTGTCAGTCGCCCCTCCCTATTATACTCCGTTTCATCAAACCATCCCTGCATATCTTTCACATTCACCTGAAGGCATTCCCTTTACAGGGGAATAGAGCTGGGGGATGGATGGGGTAGGACATAACTTCCAATTTTTCTCTGTTGTTCTGGATGACTCCCGGCCTCTTCAGGGACACTTTCCCCAGTGATCGGGAAGATCAGAATATGTGCTATGAAGATGTGAAAACACATCCTAAGCTGACCGTTTCCTCATGGGCCAGTAAGTGCATGATAGATCTAGACAGTCTAGATCTGTCTAGATCTAGATGGCACAGTCCAGAGGACAGGGAAACCCATCACATGATGAGCTGCTCTACACTCACTCATCCCTGGAGCCTTCAACACACTCAGGTGATTTAATAATTTGCAACTCTGGTAATGAGCATCTTTAATCACTGCCATTTATTGGATTCCTTTTAGCAGCAATAACGAAGGTGAACACTGGCTTTGCTATAGGAGTTTAATTAATCCAGTCTAGAATATAGAATTCCAAGGTTAGCTTAATAAAATAAAATAAAATAAAATAAAATAGAAACCACGTCATAAACCTATGTAAGGAGTGTGTTACTGCCATCGGTTTAGCATTACTTAAAATGACAGAAGGGAATGTGTGTAGGGGGGTTGGGGGTGAGGCCACCGAAGAAGGGGTGAAGGGAGGACTTGCCCTTCCAAATAATGTTGAAAAGTGCTTATTTATATATAATTAGCAGTCTGAAAAAAACCCTGATATAAGTAGCATATTTTAGATAGCACACTTGAAAACATAATTCAACTTGTTTCATCTCTGAGGTCAGTGCTATTGTGAATATAATTTATAACCAACATTGACTCCAACCTGAAACAATTTGGTTTGTCTACAAAGTCTCACAATTTGAAGGCACCAATTTCCTGTTCCTCTTATGCAAATGACTTAGGTTTTGAACTCTAGTTCCTGGAAACAAATAGCATTTGATTTTTCGCAAAAGCTAGACAACAGCAATTCAGGGTATTGTAGAAGCTACAAGGAAGTTTCCTCTAATGTAACGATTTATTCTGTAATACTTTGTGAAGACAGATTATATGCAATCTTTAAAGCTATTTTGAATGAGAAGTTTAGAAACAAAAAACAATATACATTATTAAACACTGTAATAAAAGCAAATGATAAAACCATATATAAGAACTTGGGAGAAAATTATTTGTCAGTCATGTCTTTTCTTTGGAAAAAAATTACATAATTGTTCAAAAGTAGGTCCCTAGGAGGAAGAGATTAAAAAAAACCTGTTTTCTAAACTTGGTATGATAAAGTAGCATAAATCCATTTAATCTACTTTAAAATGTCTCAGATACTTCTGTTTCTTTTGTGAAATCCAAATTTCTAGTTATATTAAGTTCCTCCATCAGATACTTCTTTATCTCTACTAATAGTATCTAGTTTCTATTAACTTTCTTGTATTTAAATTTAGTTTTGAGTAGGCAACACATGTATATGGCAAAATTCCAACAATACACAAGGCGGACTGGTGAAAAGTTAAATCTCATACACCCTGATGGTTCACTAGTTTTCCTCCTCAAAGTCACTACCACCACCAGTTCCTGGGGTTTTCTTTTCAGAGATGTTTTATGCATGTGTGTATAAGTGTGCATGAGGTTTTTTTTTTTTACATAAATAATTGCATATTATATAAGCTTTTCTGTATCTTGCTTTTTTTTTTCTACTCAGAACATTTTGGAGGACACTTCACATCAGTATATGCAGGGTGGCTTCATTCTTTTTAAGTCTACTGGTATTCTATCTCGCGGAGGTAGTATTGCTTACTGAATAACTTTCCAATATTGTCCCTGTTTCACATCCTGACATATCCCTCCCTACTTCACATCCACGTCTGCATTTGCCTTCCATGACTGTTCCTATCAATGTATATCTTCATTGCATTTCTTTTTAAAAATTTTTAATTTTTGTGGGTACATAGGAGGTGTATATATTTATGGGGTATATTTCATTGCATTTCAAAACTTTTAAAAAATATAAAATGGCTGATGCTTTTACAGTTATTCTTTCTTTCTCTCCTTCCTTCCTTCCTTCCTTCTTTCCTTCCTTCCTTCCTTCCTTCCTTCCTTCCTTCCTTCTTTCCTTCTCTCTTTCTTTCTTCTTTTTTTTTTGAAACAGAGTCTTGCTATGTTGCCCAGGCTGGAGTGCAGTGGTGTGATCTCAGCTTACTGCAACCTCTGTCTCCTGGGTTCAAGTGATTCTCCTATCTCAGCCTCCCGAGTAGCTGGGACTACAAGCATGTGCCACCATGCCCAGCTAATTTTTGTATTTTTAGTAGAGACGGGGATTCACCATGGTGGCCTGGGTGGTCTCGAACTCTTGACCCCAGGTGATCTGACTGCCTCCGCCTCCCAAAGTTCTGGGATTACAGGAGTGAGCCACCATGCCCGGCTGCAATTGTACTTTCTAAGTCCCTTTCACATATATTATTTCATTTGGGCCTCACATCACTGTGCATCTGCTAAGTAACTTTATGGCAGTTCAGCAGGTCACACATTCTTTCTTCTTAATAATTTTTATTTCAGCTATCTGCAATAATTACAAAGGCAGTTCTGGATAGCTGCCACCAGTTGTATGCTGGTTTATTTGGCATCATTTATATTTATGTGATTTACTGTCCCCTTTATGAGTTATATGCACATTTTTCATGTTAGTCATTTGTACTTCCTTAAATAAATTCCTTTTAAATTTATTTATATTCTACCTTTTTCTAAAAGTGATATGAGATATCAGTTCCTGTTATTTTTATTTCAGTAAAGCTACATATATTCCTTCTTTTGAAAGACACAGATTTCTGACTTAGGAAACTTGTCAGTTTACCTTCTGCTGGCCCGTTTGCCGAAAGGAGTAATCTGAACATGTAAGATCCTCTGAAAAGTCTGCTGCCAGAAGTCTCAGAGCTCTCTTGTATGTTATTTGTTTCTTTTCTCTTGTTGCTTTTAGGATTCTTTATCCTTGACCTTTGGGAGTGTGATGATTAAATGCCTTGGGGTAGTCTTCTTTGGGTTAAATCTGCTCAGTGTTCTATAACCTTCTTGTATGTGAATATTGATGTCTTTCTCTAGGTTTGAGAAGTTCTCTATTATTATCCCTTTGTATAAACTTTCTAATCCTCTCTTCCTCTACCTCCTCTTTAAGGCCAATAAGTCTTAGATTTGTTCTTTTGAGGCTGTTTTCTAGACCTTGTAAGTGTGTTCCGTTCCTTTTTATTCTTTTTTTTTTTTGTCTCCTCTGACTGTATTTTCAAATAGCCTGTTTTCAAGCTCACTAATTCTTCTCCTCGATCATTTCTGCTGTTAAGAGACTCTGATGCATTCTTTGGTATGTCAGTTGCATTTTTCAACTCCAGAATATCTGCTTGATTCTTTTGAATTTTAAAAATTTCTTTGTTAAAATTATCTGATAGGATTCTGAATTCCTTGTCTGCGTTATCTTGAATTTATTTGAATTTCCTCAAAACAGCTATTTGAATTCTCTGTCTGAAAGATTACATAACCCTGCCTCTCCAGGATTGGCCCCTAGTGCCTTATTTAGTTTGTTTGGTGAGGTCATGTTTTCCTGAATGGTCCTGAAGCTTGTGAATGTTTGTCAGTGTCTGGGCATTGAGGAATTAGATATTTATTGTAGTCTTTGCAGTCAGGGCATGTCTGTACCCTCCTTCTTTGGAAGGCTTTTTGGGTATTTTAATGAACTTGGGTGTTGTGATCTAAGTTTTTGGTCACTGTGGCCATATCTACATTAGGGGGCACTCCAAGCCCAGTAATGTTGTAGTTCTTGCATATTTGTAGAGGTACCATATTGGTGGTCTTGCATAAGATCTGGATGAATTATCTGGATTAACAGGAGGAGACTCTTGTTCTCTTCTCTTACTTTCTCCCAAACAATCTCTGTGTGTGTGTGTGTGTGTGTGTGTGTGTGTGTGTGTGTGTGTGTGTCCTGAACTGCCTGGAGCTGGGGGCGAGGGGTGGAATGACATAAGCACCGCTGTGGCCACTCCCACTGGGACTGCCTAGGTCAGACCTGAAGCCAGCACAGCATTGGATCTTGCTCAAGGCCTGCTCTATCCACTGCCTGGCTACCACCTATGTTCGCTCAAGGGCCTAGGGCTCTACAATCAGCAGGTGGCAAAGCCAGCCAGGCTTGTATCCTTCCCTTCAGGGTGACAAGTTCCTCTAGGCCCCGGGTGGGTCTGGAGATGCTGTCCAGGAGCCAGGCCTGGAGTCAGAAACCTTAGAAATTTACCTGGTGTTCTATTCTACTGCAGCTAGGTCGACACCAAAACCACAAGACAAAGTCCTTTCTGCTTGTCCCTCCCCTTTCCCCAGGCAGAGGAGTCTTTCCTCTGTCCGCCACCCTCAGGTACTGCCAGGGTACTGCCAATAGTCACATAAGGCCCAAAGGCTCTTCAGTCATCTTATGGTGAATGCTGCCAGGCCCGGCACTACCCTTCAGGGAAGTGGGCTCTCCTGTGGTTCAGGGTAGGTCTAGAAATGCCATCCAAGAGCCAAGACCTGGAATCAGGGACCCCAAGAACCCTCTTGGTACCCTACCCCGCTGCGGCCAAGCTGGTACTTAAGCTGCAAGACAAAATCCTTTTTATTTGTTCATCTCCTTTTCTTAAGCAGAAGGAGGCCTTCCCCACAGCCACCACAGCTGTGACTATGCTGGGCCACACCTGAAACTAATACATCTCTGAGTCTCACCCAAGGCTCACGGTGAGTACTGTCTGGCTGCCACTGCTGATTATTCAGGGCCCAAATACTCTTTAGTCAGCAGGTGATGAATCCTGCCAGGACTAGGTCCTTCCCTTCAAGGCAGTGGCTTCTTTTCTGG